GCCGATGAGGGAAAGGGTACCTGCGAGGCCGGCGGGACCAAGCGACAGAGGGTGCACGGAGAGGTAACGAGTTTGCATGGAGTAGATAAAGGGCACCCAGACGAGGTCGCCAAAGGCAAGCATCATGCCAAAACCGTCGGTCGTGATATCCATGGTGGTTAAAATAGCAGGCTCGAACCACCATGAATCTATTATGTATAGGGCTTGCACAATCGTGATGCAGATGATGCTGTCGGTGACGAAGCCAAAGTTGCGGTATTGCTGAGCACACCAAGAGCAGTTAAGGATGATCCAGCCCATCATGCCAGGTCGCAGCTCACACCACTCCTTGAGGTCAACTTCTCCAATCAGGGGTATTGTGACGCGAGGGTTGAGTTCGCGGCCAATGAACCAATCGTAGAGCAGGTTGCCGGTGTGGCCGCCGGCTGCAAGCTCGCGAAATTCCTTGTTTCCAGGCTTGACGCTGAAGCTGCGGACGTAAACAAAAGTGGCGATTGCATAGGCAATTCCGATATTAGCCGTCAGAATCTGGAGGTAGTTCTCGCTGATAAAGACCCAAACGGGGAATTCGGCGCCTTGGGCAACAGTCCCGGCTGCGAGGGCTGCCAAAGTAACCGTGTTGGAGTAGAACGCTGTTGGGTGATTAGCTGATTGAGCACTCGGAGGATTGGGAGCCGTGTGTAGCTACATACTGTTGAATCGGTACTTGAGACGTCCGCCGGAGCTCAAGACAGTCCCGTCCGTCTCGGTTGCAGGCAAAACGCGGTATAAGATGAGGTTCAGCAAGTAGTAGGCAAGAACAGCACCGGTCGCTTCCCAGCTGGCGAGACCCCATATTCCATTCTGTGGCCAGCCGACTTCAATCTTCAACTGCTCGAGTGACAAGGAGCGCGGACTCAGCAGCGATGGCGCGGGGCATCCGGATATGTCGTTGCACACGAAAGTGAAGACGTAGACGAGGATGGGTAGACCAAACGAGATGCCAAAGGCACCGGGTCTAAAAATCCAATCAGAAGAGGCTCAAGTGTTAATGGCTATGGATGACTTACGGGCCGAAGAACTCGTATCCGTGCTCAGCTGGAGCTGCAGACTTGGCCGCAGTCTTCGAGGAGGACATCTTGCGAGCTATATGACGAGTATTTCTTAAACACGAAGCAGTTCGAAAAGCCTTGATGAAAGGCTGGCCGATATGCAGCGGGGAAAGGAAGTTCAGAGCCTATTTAAAGCCGACAGAAGGCTTTCAATGACTGTACGACGCCAACTCGAAGACGTGGCGACCAAGTATGAAGACTGGCCCGGCTCCTCCTGAATCCGATGAAGGTCGCAAACTTCAGATTGAAACTAGGGATCCGCATCGTCTCATCAGCGAGGGTTCAATGACAGCATTGAGCCCGAAGCGGCTTAGCGCCACCGGTAAGGAGATGACCAAGATGACCCAGCAGGGAGCCGGATGAATTATTTTGCCGGGCCGGGAGAACATGAAGCCCACACGCATTAAGCGGGAGCTAATAAGAGAGCTTAGTTATCTGGTTGGCTGCGTTCGCTCCTGCATCGACTGGAGTCTAGTTGCATGTGCGCGGCCTAGGCTGGGAGCTTATTCGCCCACTTGATGTGGCCAGTTGTCGCAACCTAGAACAAATCGTGGAGGAGCCTAGTGGCTGAGGCTTTTCACCAAACGCACCAACCAGACCTTAAGTGTCGTTCGCTCCAACCTACACCTTTCGCTGCAATCCGCTTGTTCCAATCTATTTGGCTTATATTGTTTCTTTCTTTCTCTCTTTCTTTTTCTTTTTTGGTCAATGTCCAGGGAGCAACTGATGATAAGACTCCAACCAGACAGTATTCTATCGTCGCGCCGTGAGCGCTCATTCAACCTCGTCGAGCACGTTCCCCGCTAAACCGCGACAATCGCGTCACCTACAAGATGCGAACGAGTTTCTTAGGTTCGGTACTGGTGGTCGCTTCATTTGCCGCCGCGAAAGAAGCATCATCACCGACCACGCATGCGCCAGCGTGCACTGCGACTGCGTCCTCCGGAACAGGCGGTTTCTTCGATCTGCGACCCGATACAGCTCATCCGTCCGAGAAGGGAAAGCAGCACAAGACGGCTCTTGCAAAAGACTATCATGCAAGAGGATACGACTATGGCAAGAACTTTACTCTGAACATATGCGGAGCGGTTGTGGACCCCGTAACAGAGGTGGTGGGAGTCTCCAAGAGCCAATGGGCCAACGTCAGCGCATACTACATGTCTCATGGAAGCATCTATTCTATAGGGTTGGTCTGGCGAATGGCTGCAACGAGAATAATGGGAAACTAACCGTCTTGCCCAGATCCGAATCGATGGACTTGGTGAGCCGTGGCCGCAAGCTGGTCTTGCAATACACCGGTGGCTCGCCGTGCGGTACCACCAAATCGAACAAGAGTGCCCGAAGTCCTTCATCGCCCTCAGCCAACTACAATCACGCAAACAAGGAGTCGGCCTTGACCAACCAGCCTCACCAGGTGGAAACATTGAAAGACGACAAGGAAGAGAAATCGTCACGAAGAAAGTCCACCACTATTTCCTTCCTTTGTGACCGAGACCCCTCCAGCTCCCAAGCAAGCATATCTTTCGTTGGTGTCGACGAAGATGAATGCTCATACTTCTTTGAAGGCCGCTCTATTCACGCATGTGCGCATGCAGAGCCACACAAGCCAGGAAGTGTAGGCCCTGGCAGTGTGTTTGGCATCATTTTAGTTGTCGCTTTCCTTGTGTACGTCCTTGGTGGTGTATTTTATAATCGAACCATCTCCAACGCACGAGGATGGCGCCAATTGCCGAACTATAGTCTGTGGGCAGGTATTTGGAGTTTCTTTAGTGTGCGTATGCTTGGCAGACACCGCCTGGGGTGCACGACACTAACCACGATCCTTAGGATATGTTCGTTATTGTATTTTCCTTGTGCGCAAGGTGCCTTCCTGGCCGACGAGGCTACAGCCACCTGAGTTCGAGCCCACGAAATCGAAACTCTGACGCAGAAAATCGACTCATTGACCAGTTGGACGAGGAATGGGACGATTAACTGTTTCAAGTAAGAATTCTTCTTTGGGTCACATTTCTCGTATGTACTAGGGTAATCCTTCTTCTGTGACGGTGACGAAGCGCGTGATTTGTACCGTTTTCTGTCAGCATATTTGGCGTTTTTGGGAAGGCTTATGAAGAAAGACCTTTTTTTTTTCTATTTATTTGACGGTACTAAGCAGCGCAGATCTAAGAATACCAGATAAAATTTTGCAAAATTTCCTCCAAACATGTTAAGCCACGTTCTGCCCGGAGGCGTGACATGGCTGTTTTGCGAACGTAGTATCCTTCCCGTCATGTGCCTCGTCCTTGGAGCAAGGACACTGTCCCGTGAGAATATCGGCGATTGATGGAACCGAAACTGGTGCGAGCAGCATGCGAGATGCCGTTTGTGGCGTGGCATCGTGGCCTGCGCTCTGAACCCTAGCGGTACACCCATGCGCTTGACTGGTGGTAGCTGTTTCCTCGGTCCGTTTGTCTATGTGGCATTTAATGTCAGTATCCCTGCTCTCGATTAGAATGTTCTGGAGTCATACCATCATGTTGAACAATTCGATGTTTAGCTTTCGAGACGCCCTGGCTGTTGCGGCTCGACAGGGTCCTGTCGGAGCCCGAGCTGTTATCTCGGACACCATTCGATGGACGAATGGAGCCATAGCGATGCCGATGGTGTGACTTGTTATTTTTAACATGATTCTTTGGACGACGGGCATTACCGCGTTTTCGTTGGCGGATCTGACGACAGGTATCGCAGTAATATCGATGACAGATGTTCAGGTGTTCTTGTTGGTGAGCTGAAAGATGATAATCCGGGTGCTCTTGTTGTTGGCGAATTGTACAATAGGTATCCCTGGTTTGTTGACGGGGGGCTTCATTGCTTGTATTAAAATTTGAGGTCCAGCGTTGCGAATTCATCGCTGGACGATGTACAAGCGTGATTAGGTTTTGTCCACCGGAGGGATTCTGGTTTGCATGTGCATCCAGAGCATCGGCTTGCGCAAAGCTCTCTGCGGAAGCTTTGGCGTCCATTTTCGGCGACATATAATGGCCTTATCGGGCTGAATGGAAGCGGAGTCTGAAATATGCGACAATGTTGGAAGGAAAGGAATAACCATCCGGCTCCTTTTATACAAGTTTGCTCCGGTGGTGCCGTGCGTAGGTAAAGCTGGAAGGGCACCGGCTGTTCATTGAATGAACATGGCATTCGTTGGACATGTAGCCGCTCGACATCTGCCCAAGTCTTGAACACTTTGGAAACAGAAGCTGAAGGAGACAAAGGCCACGGGCGTTGTGTGGGCTTCACAGGGCTTGGCAAGAAGGCTGCAACAAAAACGAGGAGGACACGAGATCCATATCGCAGAACAAAATATACGTGTCGTGCTGGAGTGTCTTGTCTGTTCAAACACATACGATCCATTACACTTGAAATTCGCAATTAATCGGTTCTCTCCACCAAGGGCAGTATGCAGACTCACGCCGTCCTTCTTTGTGCGGTCTTGGAAATCGACGCAGAACCAGGGATATTCTGCGCATGGACGGGTTTTACTCAGTCACGTCGGACATGCCATGACAATCATGGGAACGGACCTTGTTCAGCAAGAGACTTCTACGGACTCCCGCTCGTTATTGAAGACCTGCCCGGCCTCTTAACAAAGCTGGCTTTTGTTCCACAGCAGCGACACTGCGTCAATGGCGGCCGCTGTCTTTGAGCGCAAGGTCTTTGTGTAAAACGCCTGTTCACTCTGAGTAGTCACCATCTATCTGAAAGGATTGCTGGAGCCGTAGAACCTGACTACTACATCACGCTGGACAATACTTAACCCCGGAAACGGGCCTGACGCAGTCATCACTCCCATTGATACTATCAAACACCAACCACCTCCCGCCATAGGTCAACAGCATACCCGGAACTAACAAGCTAGAGTCAACATCCAGCATGAGCGATAAAAAATCTCAATCACTCGTCCCCGTCATTGTTGGGGTTGCCAAGTTTGCTGCTGGTGTCTACGCTGATGTCAAAAAGACGAAAAATGGCGACAAAGCTTCCCAGCAAACCTCCAACATGAGCAGCAAAGACATGAAAGAAGCCATCCCCGCGGTTGTCGACGCCATAAACCAGTTTGCTGATGCCAAAACCAATAATGGCGATAAAACTACGAAACAAACCTCCACCAAGAGCAGCGACCACATGACAGAATTCATCTCATCGCTTGCCGCGGCTGCTACTACACTCTCTAGCACTGGGGCGGAAGACGGCGACAAAACTACCGAACGATCGGGATCGAGGCCGAAAACGGAGATGGTCAAGAAATCCATCAAGTTTGGGGCTAGAGTGGCCGGGATCTGGGCCGCACAGCAGAGTAATGCGTCGCAGGAAGCGTCCAAGAAAGCCAAGTGATTTGGTGACGACTCTGTCGAAAGCTGCTTCCGCCCGTTTGCGCAATGTCATTTGGTCATGCTGGCCCTGACAACAAGAGTCGTTGGCATTACTCCTTGGACGAATCAATCTACCTCCAAGCTGGCCGGTTTCGACGGGGGCTTTCACGGCATGAATCATCTTTCACGTTACCCATCTACCGTCTTCATGGTCTTGTCTGATCTGCTCTGTACTCTGGAAGTACGCGATTCGGCAGATTGATATGAATCTCGTTTACGCATGGCATTGTGCAAAAGGCGTCACTGGTTTCGCGGCCATGTTGAGTTTCAGGCTTTGGCTTTGCGAAAAGTCTTGTGTCGGAGGTTCCAAGCATACAGGATGAGAGAGTGCTTGCGCGTCTGCTTTCTTTTTCTCCACGTCTTGGCGGGTAAAATTTGTACTTGGAGTTGTACTATTTTAAAAGTCGTGTATATACTATCATGAGCCAATGTAAGGCTTCTCAATCGTTTGCTTCAATAGAATATCCGCTCGAGGACGGCTCGTAGACTCATACTCCCCGCGTGACAACAACTACCGTCGAACTAGACTGCCGAGTAGTTCATGTGCGTTGCCAAATCTAACGGCCTGGGACTTTTCTGTATCGCCAAAAACTTCCTCCACGCCTGCGTCCAAGGCAGATGATCCCGCGGCCGCGACGGCCCAAGGTGTAAAGGGAGTATCAGATCCCCACATGATATTCGTGTGATTGACCCATCGCAATAGAGAAGGAATTGCAAAGTTGACGGGCCACGGCCCTGCCAAGTCGAAATAGAAGCTCCTCGCGAGCGTTTCCTTCATCAACGATTGCGTCAGGTTAACGCCAGGGTACAACGTGGTGAAGGCAACTATGCGGTCAAGGGTAGGAATCAGACCGCCCCCAGCGTGTGGGATGATCCATTTGATGCGTGGGAATCGCCCTGGCACCTTTGAGTAGAATAGGTCGGCAAATGTGCGAGCCGAGTCGAACGGAAAGTCTAGCGTAGGCGCGGGAAGAATCCTATTTGGCACAGGCCTATTCAGCGCCTGCCATTCCTTTTGAGTGACGAGCGGAGCTTCGCCATTCGTATTAAATTGTACATGATTATGCTCGGTGCACGGCGTCGTAGGGTGCTCAAAGACTGTCACATTCAGCTCATCCAGCGCCTTGTAGACGGGACTAAGCCCCGGGTCACCGAGATACATGCCGTAGTAGTTGGACAAGAGGACGACGCCGTCCGGTTTTGGGTCGAGCTTGTGGAAGCAGTGCTGGATTTCGTCCAGGGCGGCCGGGATATCCGGAAGCGGAAGCGATGCGAAGAAGCCGAATCTATTGGGGTGTTGAGCCTTGAGGCGCGATGCGTATTCATTGACTCGGCGGGCTAGCCTCGTAGCATTGTGGGTTGCGATTTTCGAGGGCACGGTTAGATAGACTCCGGGACTCGAAATTGACAAGTAGGCCTTGGTGATGTTTTGCTCCTGCATAAAGTTCAAGTGTGTATCGGGATCCCAGGCCTAGATGGTGGAGGAGAGGGTGTTAGGGACGAAAGGCGTCTTGGTATTTGGGATGAGGGAAACGAACCGGTATGGCTGGCATGCCATCGGGACCGGGTATGTGCCCGGCATCTCGAAGCGCCTGGGCGTAGAAGTCGGGAATGAAATGAGCATGGACGTCTATCTTGCTCGTTGATGGACTGGAGACTGCCCCCAAGGAAGATGCAGCCAAGGAACAGGTTGCGAGTGCAGAGATCTTCATCACAGCCCACGGTGATGGGATTGACCCAAAGATGTGTGCGGGGTCAAGTTTGAAGGCCCCCAAATCTAAAGGATTCTTATCTGGCCCGATGTGTGATGCCATTGCAACCCTGTGCTGACTCATGTAAACACCACGTTGGCTCGGTGATCATCTAAGACATCAGTGAATTCTCGCCTCCATATCAATAAACCAGGGTATGTGACGCGGCAAAATGCTCGAGCACCTGACCTCGTGGAAGACGGCGGTTTCTTACTAAACGCTGTCATTTGCGGACATCGAAAATGGCTCACGTCGAAAATGGTGTCTTTACTGTCGACCAAACAACAGGGTGAGATGTAGGCTCATGAATTATTGAACAGCACGGCCGTGACCCATGGAATAGACCTTGTAACCGCAGGAAACCTAAGTATGTATTCCACACCGCCAAGTGCTGTTATTCATGTGTTCGCCTTCGAGGAAACCATCCAAGGAGGCAACCATGGCACAGCCCCAGTTTCTTTACCACGACTGTATCTCAAAAACTAGAGCCTGACGGTTGAACAACTACTTCAAGTATTGAGGCCACCTTCTCAGCAATAATTTTAGAGTTGAAGTGAATTTGCACGACGGGACCAAGGTGGTTGGGACTTGCGACTGGATCCAAGGCGTGTCGTGCAAGATTCAGTCTCTTTCCCCCCTTAAAGGTATTCTAAAAAAGAAAGGAATTGTACCGGTACCACGCTTCTACCAAATCGGTACATCTTTGCGTAGACATGACGGAGATGGCATGTTCTGTTTGTGTGAATTGCCAGAAAAAGAACCGCCGCGTCTATATAGTGCGCCACCACGAACGCCGTTCCGTGGTAGAATTTTCTCGCAGACCGTTTCCCAGCCACGCCATTCGCTAAACATGGAAGCTTGCATGGTTCAAACAAGATTTCCGACGCGGGAAATCTGGGTCTCCAGGTAATTTCTGGATCAGAGAACCGTGCTCTGGGTAATTAAAGATTCCCGGACTAGCGGTTACCGTTTGGATTGGTCGCCCTATGTGCCAGGTCTAATGCAGCCCAACCCTTGTGGCATGACATAAAGACCCTTTTTAGATGCTGCATACATGCAATGTCTAACTTTGAAGCAATTCCCACAGTGTTGGTTCGGTCGTTTGCGGTTCGTTTTCGTCGTGTCTAATATCCTTGTCGAGCATATATTTCGGTTCTGGTCAGCCGTTCACGTATCTGATACGTGTAAAGAAGAACCCACAATGAAATCAGCGCGACCATGGTACCAAGATGAGAAGACATGACTGCGAATTGTTTGTCAGGAGACGTCATCGGCCCATTTGTCTGGCCATAGCTCCCTTCCCGGCAGCCCCTTGTACCACCACTGGAAAGAATGACTTGCATATTGGCCATTTCGAAATCCACTTACCGCAGTTCCGGAATCCCTAAGTGGGAGGGAAATGTCCCGAGTGCCAAACAGGGATCATGGCCGTTGGCTGTGGTGCAACGCACAAGACGATTTCGGGCTTCATGGGTACGATTCGGTATCGCCACCCGCGAGACATGGTGTAACGAGGGAGACGCGATATCTTCCAATATGGAAAACGGATTTTAGAGAGCTTCTCTGTCAGAATATTTTGAGTTAATGTGTCACACTATCTGTCTGTTGTACTCTGTGCAAGAAGAAAGACACGCACTCGCAATAAGTCTAGCTGTGAAACACTACAACATGGTGATGGAAAAAGCGGCCAAGCAATTGACTATCCGGTTGGCTGGCATTGTATTCTCCTGTGCGAGCAAGGCAGGGGGGGGCCAGAAGCCGATACTCCAATTCGGCATGTAAAGTCCCTGATCAGTGCAATGAATTATATGGATGCTCTGAAAATGATTCATAGAAAAGCTTGTGTAATCAATTCGATATCGGGCCCGTAGAAGCCGTGGTAAGTACGTGGCTCGGGTTGTCTGTGGCAACTACGGTTTAGCTGGGTGGCATATCCCACGAGACAACTTTGCTTGAAACATGATTTCCCCTATTTCATAAAATATAAGAGGTCTAGATATGCGGAATATATTCTACGTGATAACAGAGCCGCTACGATCATGCCTAAAATCGCACGAGGCGGCTGAGTAACAGGGCTGTACTAGCGGCAAGAAAAGTAAAACGTATTCAGACAAGGTTAGTGGCACTACATGGATCCCATGCAGTTCACACTGAAATCGAACTGTGAACCCTCAGCTGCTATGATTCAATGAGTACCCTGGCCACCGGTGCATGCCAGGAACAGAGTCGGCAATCCATGGGTTACACAACTCAACCATCCCTTTGGGATCTTCGTGCCTCGGCCCCCCAGCATCCGCCCAAGCTTCTGGGGCTCAATGAACCAAAAAAGACAAAGGTCTCACTTGGAAAAGCAGCAGAATGCTATATCAACCCAAGTCACTCTATTGGCCCGGTGGAGAAGGCGAAAAACAGGAAACAGAGGGGGACCACGAGGAACGAAATGGTTCAACGCTGCATGAATAATACCGGAGCAAGTCAGACGACCGGTGAATGGAACAGCAGCAGCAATGCAGCTAATTGATATGAATATGACGGCTGGGAGCACAGGATGCACTTGAGGTCTAGGGCAGACTCACCCCTGCAGCTGCCAGCTGCCAGCTATACAAGTGAAAGTTCACTTTACTTTCTGCTCACTTTGCTTTCTGAACTTACTCTTATTTAAGCTCAGCCGCCCAGATCTTTCATCTATTTTATTTCTTTCACTCACTTAATGAACTCGCGGTGACTTTTTACTGTCTCGCTTATCACTTCCTCATACTCTTTCATCTTAATCTGGGTACGAGCTACGATTACTATAATGTACGTGTAGAGTTTCTTTATATTCCCCCGGCAAAATCATTCATGACGGCAGATCCAACAAATTTGACCCACGAAAACACTAAATTCCCTCCCATAACGGCTCGGTTTATCACGAGCACCTGTAGTTGTCTCAATATTGACTTTCCTAGCAGAAGCCTGAATCACCAGCACCAGCCTGAGCCTGCACATTCCCACATCGCGTCAAGACCTTGACAGTGGCAACCGGTGTGTAAAGAGCTAGTTGCTTTCCCAAGCAATATTGACATGGACTATTATGAAGAGAACCCCAACCAGTATGTATCGACCTCCTTAGGTTTATTTCTAGCACTAATAGAATCTAGAGCTTCGACGAAGCCTTCTTTATTATGAACCAGGACAGGCTTCATTACGAGTCACTGAACAAAGACTCAACTACAGAGGGAATGAACATGCACATGCCGCAAGTTCCTGGCCCTATAACTAGTTGCCAAAACGGGTTTCCATTTGCCTATCAACCCGGAGCCCTCCTTAGTCTCACTGACGGCACCTTTGTAAATTCTGAGGCCTACATATCCTCAATGCCATTCTTTTCCTACGGCTCAGACACAATTGATTCAAACTTCGGAATCCAAGCCCCAAGAGAATACCTGATGAGACCGAGTGTCGTCCCCAGGACAAACATGACCTATAATGCGGCTCCTAGCTTGTCTGGTTTGGGCACATATTCCACCGTCCCTGGTTACTTTAGAAGGCCCTCGTTGACGCCTATCTCAAGTACTGCAACTACATCTCTCGCGAGTCCAGGCATTCCTCCAGCCTCCCTCGCTACTCTCCTATCGCGTCAAAATCAACAAAATGAAGAGTCTCGCCCAGAGACCTTGACAGCCCCTTTACGGGCCACTAAGTCTTGTACCACTCGGCGGATCGAAGAAGATCGGGCCTTGTTGGAATACAGAGAGCAGGGGTTGAGTTATGCGGTCATCAAGAAAAAGCTAAGGTCGAACGTTGCCGAGTCAACTCTGCGTGGTAGACACAGACAGCTTACCTTGGCGCCGAAGGACCGGGAAAGGAAACCGTCATGGACTGATAATGATGTACGTCTTTTCCTTTCACCATGCTCTATACCTCGTCATATTCTAACATGCTGGTGCTAGGTCGGTCTTTTACTCAAGGCCGTCCCGCTTTACCGGAAACCTTCCGGCAAGTCCAAGGTCTTTTGGGAGCGCGTAGGACAATACATCCTGGATCATGGAGGCTCTCGAAAATTCTCAGGCAAGACTTGCCATGCGAAATATAGAGAGAAGACAGGGAGAGACTACTAGCAACGTAGCCAAGTACAGGAAGCGGTTTCTGGACGCTACGGGATAGAGGGGGATTTCTCTTATTACATGCTGGAGAATTGCTTTTTTATTCGGCTCACGGCTGGTTCTGTATACTCTCAGATGATACCGCCAGGAAGGCAAGGTATCAAGGACAATACCCATCATGTTATAACACTGGGGCTAAGAAACCCGCATAGCTAGCATGACACACGCTGATTTCACACTAGGCCCGTCTTACGCAGGTGTAAGATATAAGGCAGCAAATCTACAGCTTATTCGCACCCTCGTCTCCGTAGACATCTCTCGGGAGCCCAATCCCTCTCAGCACATCCGCCAAGCAGGCGGGATTCTCACGCAGCGCATCCCACTCGGCCTCGTTCTTTACAAGCGCCGTCCCAGCAAGCACCGTCCCGTTCAGCGCAAGCCGGCCCACGTCCTCTCCATTTCTGCCGCAGACTGGTCCCCCCTCTGCCAACCTCGGACAAATGACGAGTCGACTCTTCGTCATGGCCATATTGTAGCTTATCTGGCTGGGTGCACCAGCGGTAACTTGTACCGCCGGTGCATGCGCCCCATTCCGCTCGCCAATGGCCTTGCAGGCCTGGCCGTACAAACGCAGATAGACGCCGTATACTTCGGCACCCGACATGCCTGGCGTGATGGGCTCGGAAAACACCACAAACGGCGTTTGTTCGAGATGCTCTCCGTCCGCCAAGACGTTCCACGGGTGATGTCCGTTTTCTGACTCGAGCCCGTCTCTCATTCTGTCAATAGGGAGCAGTTGGATATGTCTATGGGGCTGGCTCGCACCCGAGTGCTCGCCGCAGTTGAAGAAGGCGAACAGCCCCCCGTCCTCGCCTTTATCCTCTGACTCAAACGCCTCTATGCATGCCAATGTAGCCTCTAGATCGGCCTCTTCCAACACATCAGTTTGTTGCTTGAATTCCTTGGTGGCAAGGATGAAATGCTCCGGCACTATGGCGAATTTATTTAGAACCAAGTAATGCGATGGGCCGACGTCAGCAATGTATAGTGCCGGCGGTGGGTTGGCAAACGGATCAAACGGCTTTTTAGGGGTTAATGACGCATCTTGGGGTGGCTTGGGCTTGTTGGCTAGTGCTGGTGAGAAGCGGAGTTGGAACTTGAGGCCCCTTCAATGTTAGCATTTCGCGAATACGGGCGTGGAGAAGCTGTTTGATGCTGAGGATGGGCATGGTGAAGAACGGGCGGGCGACTCACGGGGACTGAGTTGACGGGTAGGATGGTGACTTTGGTCGGGAAGTAATGCAGGTCTCCACCCGAGAGGGCCTTTGCAAACGTTGTTTTAATAAGTGACGGGAGGTTGGATGGCACGCTGAGTGCGCGGGCCATTGCGGTAAGGCGGAAATGAATGAATGGCGTATGAGCCGGAGGTGAGAATGAAGCTGGACATGATGATTTTAGGGCGGCGTTGTGTTGGTGGGGCTCGCACGTGTTTGGACTTGGTGTTCGCATCACGATATCTTGGTACATGTATCAATTGATGCTTTAAAAAAATGCGGGGGGCGGGGGGGTTGAAACGTTCAACTGCTCATTACTTTGAGATGATTGTACATTGTTATTCTACTTGGTCTTGGTCTAGGTCGTTGGTTGTGGTGCGCGTCCTCACCCGCAACGGGCTGCTTAGGCCACGGTTCATGCTCTTCATACAACAAGTCCATCCATCTCCTTATACTCCAGGCAATCCAATTACAGATCTCACAGCGGGTACAAACCGAGGAACAATATATACGAGATAAACTCCGACAAGGGCTGTCAGCAGTCCAGTAAGCTATCAGCAGTTAGCCTCATCCACCCAGTCTTGCAAAACCGTCCACGTACCTTCTCAAACCATGTGTGGAAATAAATTGCCGTCATCAACAGCATCCACAAATTCATGCCCACCACGCCAAGAGCAGTCTTCGTCCCAATTCCAAGGGCATATCCTCCTCCCTGTCCGGCGGCCGTTTCGGCCTCGATATTGGCGCTCTTCACCGCTCCATCAGGCAAGATGATGCATCTCTCCTCGGCTAGTCTGCTGCTCCATCTGCTTACAGCCCACCCAATCTCCTGAGCCAGGAAACACGTACCTAGCACTAGCAGAAATACATGTCCCGAGATGTCATGTCCACCGTTCCACTTCCCGCCGGCTGCCTTGCATGCCACGGCGGTGAAGGCCTCGCCCATATCAGAGCTGCCTTGTAGAACATCCCGTTCAGCCACGTCGCATTTTCCACCTGTCCATCTAAAGCCGCGATCAATCATAGGCGGGCCAAAGCACCACTGCGTGACCAGGAACCACCAGGCCGTGACGGCCGCCCAACGCAGCATTGCCCTTAGTCGTCGGGGCGTCATGTCCAGCCCGCCGGCACCACCACTGGGGTGCGTGAGCAGGAAGAAGTAGAATGCGAATGTAGTCCAACCCCAGCCGCGCTTAACAAAGACCACGTTAAAGATATTAGACTTGCGGGCAAAGTAGCTAGGCGCGGCGGAGGGGTCTTGCGAGTGCGACTGCGTTAAGGGGTCGTAGTGCGCGGAACGGGTTTCGGGAGACAGGACAGAAAATAAAGTGCCGAAGATGAGGACGAGAGGGAAAACGGCGAGTGTGAGGCGCTCAGTCGGCGTTGGGAGCAGAGGTGGGTTGCGAGGCGGCGAGGAGTTCTGTGGTTGCCGCATGGTTGGGCCCGTGGCGGTCGGTTCCATGGACGAGCCTGCGCTGCGTCGCGTCGTTACCATGATGATTGCAAAGGAGCGAGTGCGGGTTGGGAGAGAAAAACAAAGGTTAAAAGTTGGAGCGCAACTTCATGGCTTGAATGCAATCTCAGGTACGGCATTGATTGCTCGCTCGATGAGAGTGGAAAGCGGTGGAAGGCGCAAGATTGTGTAGAGCCGGTGACGTATTCGACGCCAAGAGCTGCAGAACAGGGCCATTGGAAACTGTGGCGCAAGGCCAGGTTACGCCACAAATTACTCGCCACATTTGGAAGTCTGAAATTTGCACCAAATGTTGAACCTCGAACCACCGCCGAGTCTGCACTGGTCACTGGCCACTCCGTCGATGCAACAGCCATCTATCCAGGGACAATCAAGGCCATCGTTGGCCCCCTTGTGGTCGCCTCAGCCTCCATGATTCACATTCAGGAACTGCCATGTGTTTGGATTGAGCAGATCAGCCCCGCCATTGGACTTTAAAGCGTCATCACGTCGACAAGTTGCCACGGCTGCCTGACCCTACCTGTTGTGGTAGGAGGAGGCACAGAGCTCGTCATAACGAAGCCAAAGTAGTTAAAAATCGCATCCGATACCCCGTACTCGGAATCTAGATGCCGTGGCGGCAACAAGTGGGGAAACTCGGCCGTGACGACATCATGGTGACAATGTCACCGCTGCAATTGTATGTCCCTTTTGTCGGTTCATTTTCGACGCCACAGGCTGTTTTCTGATGCGACAGGAGGTAAAAAGACCACAGCATACTCAGTACCATACAAAACAAAGCCCCTTTCCTCCGCTCCGACGGTGTACTGATGGTACCCTGTTACCGCCCTGAAGCGGCATGACGGCACGTGTATCAGCCGGCCGCCGTTGACAGATTCAAACCATGCCCTATCAAGGCTACCCACGTGTCAAGGTCGCGGCCCGGTTGACAATGTCGACATGGAGACATGTGAATCACGGGCTAGATACCCTGCTAGCGTGCTGATGTGGAAACATTCAACGCCATGGCGGCATGGACATGTCCAACACAACAAGTCGATATCTCTTGTTAGCCATGATGTATACGAGGCAAAGGAATAAGACACCGCAAGGACAGTTACTACTCGGCGCATGTTAACCACGTCTGAAAGGTATGGTCAAAGTAGATTTCACAAAGCCTTCTTTCCTGTAGTCTTTCTACATACTCCGTAGAGCTCTCTGAGGGGTCTCGAATGCTGCGAGTGGCCTTGTTCAGCTGGTGCCCCCACTACTACCAGAAATAATATGACTGATCAGTTTATTACCCCGGACGCCCTCCATAAATGTAGTCCACTAAAACGTTGGAACAAAGTACTCCGTACGTTGCCTGACTTCTGAATGTCGGATAATTCTAATGCGGTGGGCCTCGCTTCCACAAAGCATGATTTCACCTCTCACGCAGCATTAGAAGGCACCAAGTACCATGGTGCACATGTCGTACTCATGAGCCAATCTAAATGCCGTTATCTTTCTACTGGCCACAGGACTTCCGAGTATCTGGACTGGCATTGTGTCATGCACATCCAAGTCGGCCGGTCGCCTTGAGCACTGTAAAGCCCCTGACCCCCCTTTACTTCCCCCAGAGCTGGTCACCGCCTCTCCAGCCTTTGTCCCCGATGCTATTATTGTTCAATGGCACCATGAGGCTTTTCATTATCCATAACCTTCGGATATTCTCTGGATAGTAACCATAGCAAGCAGCAATCTCTTATCATAGACCCAGGTACAATCTCATGAGCAGTCCGAAGGCTGTACAGAATCTGACAAGCGTTCCACACAAGTCAGGACCATGTCAAGCACCTTTGCTGAGATTCTGTTCTTGCAATATATCTAAGCGCAATAAGAATCGCCCGCATCATCATCCTACTGAGCGGTTTCCGCCCTTACCTTACGCTTGATCTTGACAGTAATCTCCCCCCTTGGATTCTCCATATTCTTACACTTCCTTGGATAACCGACGGTACGAATGTGGTGAATGCGGACATGGTCTATTGTCGTGTCGTGGAGCTCCATGTCAAAGGTGCTAACAAGCGTTGCGATTGTTAAATAGATCTCTGTATACGCCATCCTGCAGAAACGCACATAAGCCAGACTACCTTTGAACAATTGTATAGGAGAATTAGTATACGACACTTACTGAAGGCCAATGCACTGCCTGCTGCCTTTTGTAAAGTTGACAAGATATTTGCCGAGTGGGAAGCCGTCTTTGGCTGCTTGTATCCATCGATCGGGATTGAAGGAGTGCGGGTTGGGGTAGATTGTGGGATCGGTATGTACAAAGTATGCCGACTGACTAACGGGGGTCTATGCTCGGCATCAGATACGGTTTGTTCTGGAATGATACAGAGATATAAACCAGCAACTATGAGTCTTACGCCTGGTGGAATTGTAAACCCGTTGTACTGCAGCGATTCATGGACTGCAACGCGGGGAAGGCAGGCGACAAGGCCAAATGACAGGCGCAAACTCTCGTGGACAACACCGCTCTAAAGTATCGTAAACAAGAATCCTCGGTTCTGTATCGTGGAGCTGGCCCAAGGCTCACCAAGTATGGAAGTAGCTCGAGATCTGACGAGGAGTACCCACGGCCTGGAGTAAAGACCACGGAGCTCAATTCTTTGCGTATCTTGTCCACATGTGTTTCATCGTCTAGAAGATAGAACATGCCGACGCTGAGGGCTCTCGAAGTAGTTTCTGTACCGGCGAATACGATGACGCTTCCCTCGTCCAATAAACGATCAATCTCCCTCTCCGCAGCCGGGATCTTGGTATCCATAAGGGCCGACATGATGACCGAGCTTGACTTCGAGCCATCTTCTGTCCCGGAGGATGCAAGAATTTTACGCTTCATCTCTTCCCGCATGACAAGAAAATCCGCAAAAGGCGGTAATATCATGCGAATGACCCATATTGGCGTCATTTGCAACATGGGTAACAGCCAGGGGACGAATCGAATGAGATTGGAAATGTGTACAACACCTAGTATAGCTTCAGTGACTGCATTCCTGTAGTCTGGAATATCAAGGTAGTTGAAATGCTCTCCGTAGAAACGCTGCGTGATAATGTCTGCAGTTAGTGACGAAAAAGCCGAGTCGAGGGGCACCGTCGTTCCAGTTTCCAAGGCAGATTCGAGCCGTTGACAGAGTTTGGCAACACGCTCCCAGATCAGTGGCTCCATGGCGACAATGGCACGCTTGGAGAAGAAGGGGCTCAGGTAATTTCGTCGCGCGCGATGTTGGTGGTGATCGGCAGTTGCCAAAAGCGAAGACGGCACAGCAGCCATGGGGCCAACCGCCGAAACATCTTTGTTGACGATTCGGCCGCCCCCAGCGTAGATATTGTTGTAATAGTTGTAGTCGCGTATGTGCAGTTCGTTTGCGTTGATGCGAACTATTGGTCCTGAGCAAGTAGCTGTTAGTTTGTAGGACGGAGACGCTGGTTGGAGGGCTTTGTACCGTATCTGTCGTGCATCTTTCCGATTTCCCAGAGAAATTGGCCGTCTTGAATGACGTCGAACCAGAATTCATGGAACCTTCCCAAAACCGCCAACTTGGGGCCGGGAAAGTGCCTCAACGGGTGCAGGTACAAATTGTAAAGGCACATGCAAATGTACACCCACACGCTTATCCCTAGAACAGCCCAGAGTAGAGAGCTCAACTCCGTCTGTCCACTAGTAAATATACCCAGCATAGCGAGGATTGTTTCGCAAATCGCTTAGGGAGCCTGAAAAACTGAGCGGCAGATAGACATTTTTGCTGGGGAATTTGCCGGCTTTTGTAGTTTTTCAACTCATGCCTCATGATACATGTATGCAAAGCCAATGTTTCATTAAGCTAGGTGCCATTATGATGTAACATGCGAACTGCTGGCTGCCTTGATCTATTGCAGATGTGTGGAGGCAGCCCTGAAATCATGGCAGTCACCAGCGCCGACCAAGTAACAGGTTCCCATACATATCCATGCTCTCTCCCTGTTACAGAAGAGTGGTGACGTGGCATTTGTGGCTGGCCCTCTGGTTGGGTTGTAGTTTTCACAAGCTGGTACTCACAGGGATATTATTATCTCTTTTTTGCATGATTGATTGGTGACACATGGGGACGTAACCTTGTCAACTTGCTCATATCTCTTATAGCACTTAGGTCTACAACAGGGATATGCAATATAGTAGAGTGTCATGAAAAGGAATGATGTAATGATATTACACGAGGCTTGTGTCGACGTTGAATCGATCAGACACGGGAGTGTAAAATCAACTTAGTCCCGCCCTGGCCCGTTCTACGCCCATTTTGGTAGGGATGTTCCAGGGTCCAAAGACTGCACTTGTCTTAGTTTGTCTTGATCTTGCATACGGTGAGGAGTAGCCCGTACACCGCAACATGGCAAGAAATGTGATCAATCCCTTTGTGAATCAAGTTCTGCAGCAAAAGCAAAAACTTCTTTTCTAGCTGGCGTTGACTCACGCAACCATGACGCCTATCCTCCTGTCTGGCCATTATCATACAGCAGAAGCCATTCGATCTATTTTCCGTCCTACTTGACAGAAGACCTTCACAACTGCCTGTCCCCAAACCAAGTGTGTCTCTGTCCCGCGTAGATTGCGAGCCGCTCGATGGATTCCATCAGCCGACGCCCTCGACGACATGCTGCACGATAAGCGAACTGAGTTGGTAGCGTACGATTGGCATCTACGAATTGATCTAACTGTTGATTGGCCCTGATTGAATCAACATAGCCACCGATTTGGGTAAAGAGAAGATTGATTAGAGCAGTAAGGCAGCTAATGACAGTTAGCTAACATTTTCACTCTTCTTCCGATCTCTCTGCGACGAGAATCGTCTAGAGACCTTGCGTGACAAGGGCAGGATAACTGGGCTTGGAACAGAGGGTTCAAGTCAATCTTTATAATCGACTTTGAGACATTAAAGGTCCTTGATTTTCCGCGAGGCCTTGAGGGACTGAAGGTCTCTGTAAATACAAGAAATCGGCATGTATTTAAGGCCTAAGGTAGCCCTTACTTAGGTCCGACTTCGGGCCTCGTGATATCATCTCTCTTGTTGTGTAACCGTTGTTGGCCCAACGCCCTTTGTTGTGGCCTGATCGTGTGGCAGCTATAATCAAGACAATGCCTACCGGCTGATTATGACTCAGTCCTTAGAATTGCTGCAACGACAGGCATGGGGAAGAAACCGAAGATAGTGTCACAAGAAATGCAGACTTTTTGTTTTCTGGACAGAATCTTGTGGCCGAGACGGCATTCCTGGGAACAGATAACTGGTCACATTAAGTCTCAGGAGCGTGCGGTGTAGCGTCTTAAGTGCTTGCTTGTCATCGACTTGCGTTGAGCACTTATACGGCGGAGACCAGGTGGGACAGAAACAATCATTCAAAGCGCGATATTGTTGTCAGGGTATTCAAGATGATGTGGGACATAGATGCGAGGTACGTGAGAGGACACTAGGCGTAGTTGGGGAGATGCGGGATCAATCTTGACACGGACTCACCACAAGTATATGGGGCAGGAAAGGCACCGATCATATTAGTTTTCCGAGTCTGCACCGTGAACAGCCGTTGCTATAAAGGATGGTCATTCTCTTATGTGGCTGTAGCATTCAGTAGGTAGGCTATGAAAGGTTGTAGTTCTCTCAAAATTCGACTTATTGCATCCTCTTCCTTGCTCTGTTCGCTTACGGTTAGATAGCCGGGCAACATTACTGAAAAGTTTATTCTTTTGGATTCTCGCTTACCGTGATGTTGAACATTTGTCTCAATAAAAGCCCAAAAGCCCCGTAAGGAGATGGAGCCTGATTTAAAAATACAGACGGCCGCACTCCTTGCGGAGAACCTGATCACTCATATGAGTCTTCTTTTTCCTCTGGGAAAGCTCACTAGACTCCTGAAGCAGCGTAACAATCTCCTGATGTTCAGCCTTCGCCGCCCACGATAGAGGGGTATGACCATCACGGTCTTGCGAGCCAACGTCGGCGCCGAAGTCTAGAAGCAGTCAACAAGAAGCAGATCAACAACATCCTCGTGCCCTTTCTTGGCGGCCCAAGATAGCGGCGTCCGTCCGTTTTTAGTATCCTTTGTGTCAACATTGGCAAAATCTTCGAGCAGAAGCTCTATGACGGCCCCATGTCCCCTCTCAGCAGCCCATGATAGCGGTGTCCGACTGTCTTTGCTATCCTTCTCCTCGATATTGCGGTTCCCCTTAAGTAAAAGCCCAACTATAGTAAGATGGCCATAGTATGAAGCTAGCATAAGATCCGTCAAGCTCCCAGTGATTTCCGCAGGCATAGTTTGCCTGTAGATTTCAAACCATACGGCATTTGAATTCGAATCGTAAATTTTCAAAACAGAGGGTATAATTGCAGCGTCGTCGGAAATATTGGCTTCGCGAAGGTGAGATCCCCAATTTTTGGCTGAGTAGTTTAGAAGTCGTACTTGGGGGTGGATTTGTCTGCTTCCTCAATGGCCTCTTTTGGAGGCGTAGCATCGGCATTAAGCAAGTTTAAATACAGCACGCAGGCCTCCGCCAGAGTAGCATGTGCTTGCCTGAGACTGATGGAATGGTAGTCTGGGCTTGTAACCGTTTCTCCGATCTGACGTACTAATGGTCTTGTTAAGGTTAATGACGAATCAGCGAGAAGGAACTCGCGAGCAGTCTCATGGCGGAAATAAATACTGCCCTCATGAATTAAGATGAATGGTCCACACATAGATTGAAGGTGTCTTCAAGTTCTCTTCGTCTTCCAAGTCAATATCGTGAAGAGACTTTACTGTATCATCTACTCTCATGGCAATATTCACCTCTGAGTGAATTAATGGCCGATTTGCTGCGAGGATAAGACTTAGAAATTTCCGAGCTGTTAGTTGTGCCTTGGCCTCAAGCGAATCAAAAATTTGTCCATGTATCCTTACAACCTTTGTTGGAAATGTTGCAAATCCAAACTCGATCCCCCTTGGTGAAATCTTCAAGTCTTATTTTTTTCAAATATTCAAACAAAAGGCGTAGCCAGGGCTGGAAACCATCATGTTTCCCCTGTATAATCCACTCTAGGCGACATTTAATATTAATCGAGAGGTCTTTTGTCTCTGATAGCTGTCCAACTCGGGCAGTAATAATATGGGTCACGTCGTCCATAATACCTCCACATGTGTCATCTTCGCGTATAGTGATATGTGAAGAATCTTGTCGTAGTTTTTCGTAGAAGGGAAACAGAATACTTTGATCAAGCCGACTCGTCAAGAAATATTTTAGCTTGTTGTAACCTATCCGATTGCTGGTAGCATGGCTGTGTATATTTTGTGCCAGGCTCCTCAAATCCGAGTTGCACATGCGTCCAGGGCATCTAGAACAAAGATTATACGCCCAGCCTGAGAATGTTTTACAGCATTCCGAAGAATGCCCCAGAGATTCTGTAGAGTTAATTAACCCCTGCTTGTCTCTGCGAAATTGTAGCATAGCATAGTCAATGAGGGATGGATTTTGACAAAAGAGCTGATGAAGGAGGGCGCAAAGTGCCTGGCGAGCCTGATCCTGAATGTTTTCCTCAAAGAAAAAGTAACAGATGGTTGATGTTTTGGGTAGAACGTGGTCAACTACATATTTAGCCAGCACGGACTTTCCATAGCCAGGACCCGCCAAGACTAGCAGTATACCAGAGTCTCGTTTCAGCCACTTCTGGAAATAATCCTGTTGAACGAACCACTGACAGGTCCCTTCTAATGGGTCTTCGACGCGATTCTTGCAGCACTCGTACGCGGTGTTCTCGTTCTTTCCCGCAAGACGAAGTGATTCAAGACACTGTAATTCTTCAGAGGACCAACTCCGACAGGCTCCCCTCTGCTTCGCTCTATGCTGTGCCTGCGAGGCGCCTGCATCTGATTTTGCTGGATCTTCGGTGGCTATTGTACTTGCCTTGATTAATATGTGACAATATTACAAGACTCCCGAAGACTCACCTCTCAGAATATCGCTGTTTCTCTTCACAGACTTGACCGTAGCTATAGGTATTAGATCTATCGCATATGCCGCTGCTGTAATGGCGGCACAACGCCGCCAATCATCATTAATATGGGAGTCTGCATAATTATATGGCCCTGATCCTATAAACCGCGGCTGATCGTTAGCCGGCTAAAGAAGATACATTACGATAATAGGTGTTTTCCCTCGTATTAACTCTACTAGGTTTAGCTGATTAGTAGTATAATAATGTTTAGCACGTTTTCGCGAATTACTTTTAGCTCCTAGAATTAACTAAAAACTGTAAGGTAGTGTAACGGTGGCTTAGGTTCTAAGACATAATAGGTTTATTTCTTAGGAAGTAAGTTAAGTTAAATGTTATAAAGTAGCTCTTAAGTAGTATTATAATAAGGCTATTAAGAGTATAACTCTTAATAATAAGACTATTACTTAAATTAATTAATAAAGAATTAAATTATTTCATTATAATAGAATATCTTCTTCTTAAGTACTCGTTTATTTCTTTATTATAATCTTAGATTAATTAGCGTAACTATTAATCCCTTTAACTTCTTAGTTAATTAGCTTAATTATTAATTCTATTAAGTCTTATCTTAAATTATTAACTTAATACTTTAAGTCTTTAATCCCTCTTAAGTTACGTGCTTAGTTATATACCTTTTTTTTCCTTATTATACCTATAAATTATACCTATTTTAGCTAGTATAGTTTTATCTTATATCTTATATAATATGATTTATAATATTATACCTCTTCTTTATTAATCTTATTCTTAAGGCTATTAAAATAGGCTAATTAAAAGCTTAAGTAAATTTTCCTTTCTTTATTATTATATACTATTATATCTATTAATTATATTATTAAGTAAAGGTTAAGAACGCGTTCTTAAAAGTTTAAGTAATATAAGACTTTATTATATTTAATTCTTTTTAACTTTAAAGCTATAAAGAAGGCTTCTTATTCCTATTATAAGGAAAAGGGTATTATCTCTTATTAACTATCTTCTTTTAACTCTTCTTATTACGCTTAATATATAATAAATTATAAGTTCTATTATAACGTGTAAGGTATCTTATTAGCTTAGCTTTATTAAATAGCTAATTATTACATATATTTTAAAAGGGAGCTTAAGTCTATTAAAGAAGAGTATTATTTAATAGACGTAAAGATAAAGCGTTTATAAAAATAAAAGAAATTATAATTTTAGAAAATAATACGTGTAATTACACGTGATATTAATAATTAACTTAATTATTAATCTCTTTAACTTCTTAATTAATTAACTTATCTATTAATTCTATTAAGTTTTATTTTAAATTATTAACTTAACGCCTTAAGTCTTTAATCCCTTTTAAGTTACGTGCTTAATCACGTACCTCTCTTTTTCTTATCGTGCCTACAAGTCGTGCCTATCCTAGCCGGTGCGGTCCCGTCTTGTGTCTCGTGTAGTATTATTCGTAACAGGTAGTTAGGGGACCTCGCTTACCTGTAACGCGATTAACAACGTTACGTGAAACGGGGGCTTTAAGACTATATTCCCTATACCTTATATAACTAAAAAATAAAATAAGCTTTAATTATTATAATATAATTATCTTTACTTTAATTACTTAACTTTTAATCTCTCTTTATAGTTATATAATTCCCTTTTTTCTTGCGTTATAAGGTTATAATTTAGGTAGTGTATACGTTATTCTTAGTATAATATAACTTCCCGTTTAATATCTTTAAATTAGTTTATTGTAATTTTAGTTATATTATAAGGGTTCTCTTCCCTTATTACTCTCGTGGAAACTATTCGCTTTCTTACTTACTATTAAGGTGTATATAGTAATTATTATTATAATAAAAGGTTTAATTAAGAAGTCTATATTTAATTTTAGGTTCGTTTTTCTTAATTAAATAATTCTCTTTCTCTTAAATTAGCTCTAGTAAAGGTTCGCTTCTTAGTAAAAGTGTCTAGTATTCCTAAAAGTTATTAGGTATTAGTTAGGTTTTAAATTTCTAATCTTTATTTAAACTAGTATTATTTATTAACGTAGGGTTTTCTTTCTTACTTATTATACTAAGATTTCGCGTAAGTAAATCTTCTTAATTTATAGTATAAAGTTTCTTACCTTTAAAAATTAGCTTTTATAGCTTCTTTAAGGCTTTATATTTATTTATAAAGTGTTTAGTCTTACTATAATTATAATAAGTCTTTCTCTTTTTCTTATTTATAGCATTAAGTTCTATAAGTTTAATATAATACCTATATATAATAAAGGTTTATTATAGTTTACTATTATTAGCTTTATTATACTTAGTATAAAATTAATAATTCTTATTACCCTTTTCTTAATATTATTTATATAAATAATTATTTATTTTAATTATTATCTTAATAAAGTTATTAAATAGCTTAAAATAATTTTCTTAATAAATATTATTCTTTACTTCTTCTTTAAGTTCTTAATAAAAGACTTTTAT